ACTGAAACCTCAACTGCTTCTTTTGTCACCTGTGACAGGCTGGAAACAAGCTGACTTTCCAGATTGGAAGGTGGTGGGAGAATAGCGCACAGGGTCTGGAAGATAGTTTCGGATACGGCTCTAGCATCATGGTTACGCTGGTTCTGGACACTGTCGCGATTAGACAATAGTGTCAGAGTTGTGGCGCGCCATCTCCGTATGGCTGAGGGAGGTCCGACAAGCTGCTTTTCGAGACTCTTGAGCTTCTGTCTTGTTTCTCGATCCAGGCCGAACAAGTAGCGAGTAAAGACGAACTCCCAGAGCATACTCATGGCTACGGATGTAAACACATCGCGACGACGTACTCGATCGCAGAGATACATATCCACATCTGACCCATCAAGTATGGTGTTGTCCAGCCTGTCAATGATCTTTTCGTCGCCAATTTCTGACGTCAAGCGAGCAGCGCGCATATCCGAAAACTTTGAAAAACGTAGGATCCACTGTCGAAGATTTGAAAACAGTTCTTGACATCGATGGTCAAAGTAGTCCTCATCTCGGATGTTGAGAAAGTCCTCATGCTTGGGGGGTGCTAGGATCTGGCGCTGTAGGTCTTGGAAGCTCAGCTCATTTCTCTCAGCTAGCATGCTGACAATAGCTTCGTGGCCGTTCTTGGCGGCTGACGATAGAGGCGTTCGTCCGCGGTTGTCTTTCACACTTGTATTAACCTTGTTTGTATCAAGAAGCAGCTGAACAACCTTTTCAAACCCGCCCTCTGCCGCCAGTATTAGTGGAGTTCGTCCATCCTTATCAGCTGCGTCAGGATCGGTCTTGTTAGTACTCAATAACAGCTTCACAATTTCGTCATTGCCGTTTTCCGCGGCGAGAGATATGGCCGTTCTCCGGCACTTGTCTCTAGCCTCCAGATCGACCTTGCCAGTATCGAGAAGAAGCTTAACAACATCGCGATGCTGGTTGTTCGCTGCCCACATGAGCGGTGTTCGTCCGCTTTCGTCTTCAATCTCACTCACTTCTGCAGCATCCGGAACAATCTTTCCTGTTTGAAGTAGCAGTTGAACAACCCCTGCATGCCCATTCTTCACGGCCCACAGCAAAGACGCTTCTCCAGTCTCAGCACTAGCGCTCAAGTCCACCGCGTTAGTATCAAGAAGCATCCTTACTACTGCCTCGTGGCCACCCTCTGCGGCGAGTAAGAGTGGTGTTCGCCTTGTTCGTCTGGTCTCGTCGGGCTTTTCCTTAGCATTTGGATCAACCTTTTTCGTGTCAAGAAGAAGCTTAACAATTGCCTCATGTCCTTTGCTGGCTGCCCACAGCAGTGGAGTCCATCCCTTCTCGTCTTTCGCATCTGGATCAACAATCTCGATTCCAAGAAGCAGGTTAACAAGAGCTTCATAGCCATGACTTGATGCCCAAGAGAGTGGGGTTTGACCAGCCTCATTCTGCTTGTTCGGGTCAACATTCTCAAGCATAAGTTTAATCGTTAAGTCGTATCCATCCTCTGACGCCCATCTCAGTGGCAACCAACCGCCCTCAACTCCAAGAAGAGCCTCAGTTATCGCTACAACGTATGCCCCAGTTTTAGTACTACATCCGGAGTTCAACGCTGGGTTCGTGTTATCCACATTTTTCAAAGCCTTGTCGAAGTTTCTCAACGATCTCCGGACATACTTTTCAGCTTCGGCAGGTCTTTCAAGATCTTGCAATACGAATCCAATATTCGCCAGTATTGCAATAATGTACAGTTTATCTGTCATTGAGCCCTTCTTCATTTCTTTGACCATGAGTTCCTCGTACTTTGTTTCTTGATCACCAAGAGACTCATTTGGATGCATCTCCCAGTCCCACACAAGGACAAAGCGGTGTGAGAACCTCGTGACTGACTGTAATATTTCCGACCACTCGATACCTTTGCCATCGCGAGCAATAGAATCTGTAGGGGGTACCGAAATCATGACAACGGCCCAGTAAGGATGACATAGTCTGATGATAGTGGGCCTTGATGCTCCCTGAAGAATGCACACAATGTCCCCTGCTTGGATGTTCTTTGCCGAGGCCTGGACTGCCCAAGACGACATTCTGCCAGCCTCAACATATGCATTCTTCCAGGCAATCGTCACTTCCTGACTATCCTCCCAAGCCGGATCTCTTTGGACCGAGGAGACTTCGCCCAGAACTAGGCCCTTTCCATCGATAACAGCCAGCTCCCTGTCGCTCCAAGTCTTCACAGATACCGATTGTGAAAGTACATATTTAACCAGCCTATGAAATACTTGACTCCATGGAATCGTGTAGTCAACATATAGCCCCGCTTCACTGGGATCATCGGAGCTCATACCAAGCAAAGCGTAGACTTTATCGTGGCGTTCGGTGGCCTTTCTGGTATGATACATCTCAGCCAATTCGCTCAGAGGACGTATGTCGAGTGAAAATCTACTGGATTGTGTTGTAACGTGCCGAGGGCGAAAGATGGCTCCCCGTATGAGATAGGTGACAGATCGAACCAGGGGCTGCAAACTCGGGTAAGATTTATAGGAGAGCTCCATTGCGTTTAAGCCTGAGCAAAATGCATATCCATCAATCTCAGCAGAGCCACACTTGATGAGTACATATCGGGCTGCTGCAACCTCTTGTAGGACCTGGATGGACTTGATGAATACCTTTCCTGATGCCGGGTTGGAGTTGGTGGCTTACCCAAATGCGCTGAAACCATGGTCTTTGGAGAAGCTGGAAAATACCTTTTTGATCTTTCCCCTCTGTCGAATTTCGGAGTGCTGCTTCGCGGATGTTGTCCAGTGTCTGATCGCTGGTAGTTGACGCCGACCCGAGCCAAACAACAACGCAGCTGGCTTTGGCATAGATCTCGGCCATTGATTGGACCTGCTGTCCTTTCTCCAACGTGTCTCCTTGATTGATGCAAATTGCATCAATCCAGATAATACGCTCTAGAGAGCCATGTCGTAGATGCACCAGCGCCGCATGAAGATTTGTTCCCACGAGGAAGTTCAGGTCATTCACGACGATAGAAAGAGGCTTTTCTGCAGACCCCCAGACGTAGGACAAGGCCTCGTAAGGGTAGGTGCTCTCCGAGTCAGACAGAGCAAAACTGAATAGCTCGCATTGGACTGGGGAGTTCTTGTCGGGGTGCGGGGTTATCCGAAGAAGGCGGATACTACCCTCGGGTAATGGTGAGTACAAATACGGGGCCATGGCCTATCGGGAGCTCAGGTGAGAGATGATGTTTCCCGGCTTATACTTGCTGGGTGTTCGGCGATAATAGCTCAAGATTTGAGGCAGGTGTTTTTAGAACAATTGGGCAGTGAGGGGGTGATGCCTAATGAAAGCCTCATGCATAGCTGAGCTGAACTCCAAATTGCGACATTGGGTAAGCAGGCAGGCCTAACTGGGCCAGTAGGTTACTAGTGGCATGCGAGAGGCAGCCATTACAACTGATTCGGCACCATTTCTATATTTCTATCCCATCCATAATGAATAAATGGGTCAGTCAACTAAGTGATATTAGAAGAATCTTTTTGGGTTTATTCCAGAAAATATCATTCAAGGTCTTATTTGCTACTGATAATCCACGTGAAAATGTTATAACATTCGCATTCGTAGATTCTTGTTGTCTGTCTTCCACGGCCCAGTGAGCTGCCGCCGGGTCACATTGGTGGTTTGAGCCTTGCGCAGCGAACAAGCACTCCAACTTACTATCTTCGCATCTTGGCTCTTCACCCTGTTGGGTAGTCATTTTCTCCTCAAAGCCTCCAGTAGCTAAGTGACTTATTAGGATTTGGCCATCTGTGGTTCTGTACTGGCCTGGGCTGTCGAGATATCATTCCCAAGATGAGCCAACCCATTCGTCGTCCCTCCGGTCTTTCCGTGTAAGCCCCGATGGTTCTTGTAACCAGAGCAACCAGGACGTGAAGAATTTTTCTCGAAGTCGAGGGTTGCCCCAGATCTCAGACGTATTGACACAATCTGCGGTGGCGGGCTCGTGTTGAGCATGAACCATAGCGGTCGAAATTCAAGAGAGATTAAGAGGGGGGCAGCCACATGTTGGCATGCTATACCCGTTAAGGGTGCGGAACTCGGGATGTCTGATCATTTACTCTCAAGCAACAATGTCAGCGGCTAGGAGAAGTGGTGCGTGCAAGTAATTTGTTCCAGTAATGCCAGGTAGTTCATGATAAGCTTTGGCTAGAGCTAAGAGAACTGGATCCTTGGGTTCGTCTTTGCAAGCTATAAGTCCGCTCAGAAAGTGCGATACCTGATCAAAGAAGCCTATTCCGTCGCCTCTCTGAGTCCAGAACAAACCACTCCGTAGAGCTGAGATCACCTCCGCCTCAATTATTTGGGATTTGCCCTGCTTGTCTAGTTCGGCAACGTGAAGAATTATGTGATGGAGGCCTCTCATCGATAGACCTCCAGCAACCGCCGGGCCACAGGGGTCCATCCTCAAGCATTATCACTCCCATACAGACTCGTTGCTCAAATACTCAAAGACAGTACGTTACATGAAAACAACAACTCCACTCACAAGCTGGCTAATCTTGTTGCCAGCCGGCTGAGTCTCTAACAGGCCACCATACCGACTGGGTAGCCTCTCTTCAAGAACAGTGCGAAGATCTATCTTATACTGCCAAAAAAAAGACCCCCGACACCATCTGTCGACATATCGACATCGTCGACGAGTGCCAAGGCAAGGGGGTACATACTAGCAAGAGACGGAAAGCTAGGACTTCTCGAAGCCTTTTGGCTTTGTATAACAGCTTAATTAAGAAATATTATCAAGTCAGATTGATATGATAGATTTAAAAGTTACTAGTATAACTATTTAGGTAGGCATTTAAAAGTAAGAGGTTAAATTCTATAAGTAATTTATTATAATTAATACAAATAAATAGAATTTCTTTAGAATTTGGCCTTCTTATAATCTTTTCTTTTGATAAGTTTTAGTTAAAATTAAAAGTCTCTCATTATTTACATAATGTCATATACTATCAATCGCTTTCAGACATATAAGAATCCTCAGATTGCATCCTAGGCCGCTTAGTAGCCTTGTGATTAAGTGAAGTTTCTATCGGATTGCGATTCTTCTTAAACTCCTTGTCAAATGTTCGCAGAGAATCTATTGCGCTGTGCAAATGGTCATATCCAATCTCCACACCTGCTCCAAATGCTGATGCATGTGCAATTCTGACTATGTCTCTGATCTGTCGTCCGTTGAGCTCTTCGTGGGCAATTCTGCTGGCCAGATCAGTCCATGAACCTCGGTCTTGGATTGTTGTTGACGCTTTTGCAAGGAAGATTTGCCACAAGCCCTGACGGCTAGCGATATCCAGCTTTGGGTAATGAATGGCGACTTGAATTCTCGATTTAAATGCATTGTCGATGGAACTAACTCTATTCGTCGTGAGGAACAGAGCTCCTTGGAAATACTCAAGAATCCGTAGGAAAGCTACCAGATATAACAATTAGTATGGGTCACGGGACGAGAAGGTAAAGAGTCATCATACCGGTCACTAACGAGTTGCTCATCTCGTAATAGCTACTTCTTGATTCTAGGAAGATATCTGCCTCGTCCAAGAGTGCCACTGCGTTCCACCTCTCTGCTAGACGTAGGACCGTTCTAAGTGCGCTTTCTGTGGACTCATGGTCATGGCACAGATCCCGCGCGTCCATTTTGAGAAGTGGTCGCTTGCAGTGCTCAGCTATGGTCTCTTATTGTCTGCATGTTAGCAAATGTAATAATGGGTGCCTGTACTGTACTTACCTGCAGTCATTGTCTTCCCAACACCGGGTTCGCCGTGTAGAAGAAACACCAGTCCTTTCCCCTTTCCTTTAATTATGTCGCCAAATGCCAGATTGTGGTGTTCTGTCTGCATTCGAACAAGAGACAGCAATATGCTTTTGTGCTTGTCGGAAAGCATCAATGAAGATTGAAAAGTCGTTGTGTCGAAATCGATATTTTGCACCAAATCTATATTAAAGTAACCCCATTGTCTCTCGTTGAACGCGTAGCCACCAACGTGGCTATGGCAAATCAGGTAATCGTTGTCGGTGAATATCCAAGATGTAGGGATAGAACTTTGATCAACTTCCTTGGAATGAAAATGTTGAGAATCCAACATGATTCGGCTTCCGATCTTGAGAGAGGCGCATGTTAGCATTGGCGCCATCTTGGTACATCAGGTCCTGGCACTGAAGAATTCTTACCTGTCTTAGTACCCGGGACGAACTATCTGTTGTAAGAGACAGTCTGATATTTGTGCCGTCTTGCCGCGAAAGAGTTGCCGGACCCCGATAGAACTGGTGATGAATACCTTGAAGTTGACGGAATCTACGCCCTCGACTTATGAGACGTGTCTCTATATCTTCTCGATCAGGATGAAAACGTAGGGGCAGTAAAGGAAGTAGTTTGATCTGGCTAATTCCTTCGAAATAGAGAATTTTCGCAATCCAGGATTCAAACCCAAACCCATTTTTGTTCGTAGTAAGATATTCGCCTGTGAGCGTCCATGCGTGACTGAACATGTGATTGGCATCGTTGCAATCGCAATTAGAAAGTATAGACTTGTATCGCATGATCATCTCAACACCAGAAGGTGCTGCGTTCCCGGGCAGATACACCAGATCTCCTTGCCTAAAGATCGTCCAGGCATGTCTGAAATCAATCGAAGGTGATGATGGCTGGAACATGACATGACATGTAAAGCTAGCGACAGCATCTGCAAGCTCTTGCTGTAAATGCTCCACTAGCAACGAAACATGACGTTGTTCGTCGCTCTCAAGATCTCGCTGCCGTCCGTACTCAAAGAGCCTATCACGAAAGTGAAATAAGTGACGAGGTTCATTGTACCAAGAAATGTGGGTGAAGTTGATGTTTCGATCTCTGTATACAGGCACAACAGCTTTCAACGCAGCCTTCATATGAGGAGACTGTATTTCTGTCTTGACGGAAGCCTTTTGGCCATTGAGGTTCCACTCCGTGGTGCGAACGATTGCAGATTCATTTGCATCCATTCCGAGAAAGCTGCCCAAATTATGGCTGGTTCCACTACGAATGACAACTTTATTGCCGTCCGAGTTGAAGACTGAATCATAATCAACCAGTTCGCATTTCGTTCCTGTACCACCGCCCGAAACTTGTGGCTGGGCCAGTGCGAAATCTTTCAAATAATCATCGAAAGACAATTCCGAAGCGAAAATCGAGGTATTAATAGTGTTATCGTCCATGGTGACAAAAACGGGCAGTGCAGGGGGGAAACAAGGTAGATGTTCTTTGAATTGGGAGCTCTGAGTCTGAAGAAGTGCTGTTGTAGTAGAGCAACGAGTAAAAAGTCTAGACAGGACCGGGTACTTTATACTCGCTTCCTGTTTTCTTTTACCCCAGTTATTGCATAAAGGGCCTTTAATCCAGTTGGTACTTTCTTAACCACCCTGGACGCCTTACGGCGGCCTTGTCATACCAATGACCTGCACATCTGCCCACCAACAAGTGCGCCCTTCCAACCGGCCTTTCGTTTCTTTTCGCGCACTCCGCGAGGAGTACTTCTCACTCAAAGTCTGTTCTTTGGTCTTGGCAAAGCATCAATGTAGGCCAGGCCGTGGAATGGTTCCTCCATTGCTGTCTCCCCTATCCAATGCTCCATCATAATCGATCGATTGTTGTTAGCGCTAGGACGCTGTGGCTTTTTCCCCATGATGCTAGCCATATTTGTGCCGGTCTATGAAGTACCTAGTCAGCACGAACTAGACTGCGATGCGATTGTCAGGTCTATGAGAAACTAACCTGGTTTTTATTTGTTTCTGTGATGTTCTGATTTGAGCAGACTGCGGCATGATTTTCCTTGGTAACAATATGCTTTGAAGACTCTAGATCTACAGGCATTTTTGAAGCAAAAAACGATTTCCACGTTAGATACGCTTTAAACACGTTTATTGTACTCTGAAGACAACTGTATTCTCCGCTTCATCTTCCAATTCGATCGGAAGTGAAATCTATGAAATATATATTTTTCAAAAAGCCTGCATTACACTTTTACTCCGACTGAGTACTTTTCCGAACTTTGGTAACATTATCTTGGGTTCTAGCATTTGACGGTCCGACGCTTTAGGCTCAATCGTTACAGGAATAATGGACTTTTGCGTACTTTATAGCTGCAAGGATTATAGGTCACGCAGCTAGACCTTCGGGAGGGGTTAGTGTGGACGGTTGTCGTCATCGATCAAGGTGAGGCCTGTGAGCTGCAACCGAGTGCACGCAAAAAATTTTACGGACTTTTGAAGAACGTCTTTTTACAGGCTGGTTGGATTTTCTTGCAGAACCGCTTCCGGTAGTACTTTTGTGTACATTTTGGCAAAGGACTCCTTTGCATTCGTCGTAAGTCCTGGGGTCTGGCGGCTTCTGCCAAGCCGCCACGTTTTCAAGTACGTATGGCCACGAATCTCGCGGACTTTTGCGTACTTTGTGGCATCTTCCCTACGAAGGTGTAGTTCTTTGATGGTTGATTGGCGCTCGGTCAGCCTTGGCAATTTAATACAAGCAGTACTCGGTGGCTTCCGCCCCCCTTTAGGTGTCCCCATGAGCCACTGGTAAGCAGCGTCGGCAATCATGATTTGTCTTGGTCGAGTATAACTAAAAGATGAAAAGGCGCCTGCACCTCGTCCGTTCTATCGAAAACATCCCATCTACTGTTTGACGGCAATTTATCGCCCTTTTGCACCGCGCATCAGTACACTTGCTACTGCAGCCTCGACCTAATGGAACCTCGGACCTTTGAATGGGATCTGTCCGATGGCGCCGACTTGCTTGACCCCCAATCTCGCGGTGTTTCGCTACCTGACCAGCGCCTTTGGGCACCAACTTCTGATGCGTGTGCCAACACCAAGGGCGTAGCAAATGCCATTCACAACTCCAGTCTGCTTAACAACAGCTTGAATATGCCGAATTTTCAATTCGACTTGTCTCTTAGACAGGTCTCTACTCCCCCAGATATCCCACCAACTCAAGCCCCTATGGTGACGACCGCACCGACTAAATCCACCAACAAGAAACGGCAAACGATTCCGGAGAGTGTCTGGTGTCACCACAGAAAGACGATCGAGAGACTTTACATAGATGACTGGTCCACGTTGGAGGAGACTATGGCCACGATGCGTGAAAAATATGATTTCGATGCGACGTGAGTTCAATCGCTGCAATAACCTGGTAGAGTTTGTGCTGACTTCAGATAGCAAGAGGATGTACAAGGATAGGCTGAAGCGATGGGGGCTCTGGAAAAATTTGAAGAAGACAAGAGTGGAAAGCATTGTTCAGGAAATAAATGACCGGCAGGGCCGCGAGACAGAGGTACTTGTGGAAGGGAGAAAAGTCGAACTGGATCGGGTACAGCGAGCGCACGATAGGTATTCTGCCTCGGAGAAAAATGGTCAAGGTAAGAGAGCTCTACTCAGTCAGTCGCACTCAGGCAGCAAGTCTTTTCTTCTTTTGTCTTTTGGGCCTTAAAGACCAATTACTGAGGCTGAGCAGCACAATGCAATGTTGAAATCATTGTACGGACTCCCGAGGCCCGTGACAGTTCCCCATCGATGGCTCATAGAAACAAATGTACTACGGCATCATCGTCATTCAGCTTTGAGTTCAGATCCCCGGCCCAAGGTCCTCTAGACGCATCCTCTTTACGGGTAGATGGAAGGGGCCTTAGCGAAGCAGAACTTCTTGCCCTGAGAGCGAAGTCGATCAGTCAAGTCGGCGAAGGAAATCGAGAAGAGGGCATATCTGGCTTGATAGCAACTCTCTGTGGATTCCAGGATCACTTTCCTGCCACTGATCCGAAGGTTATAGAGACCGCTTGGAGTCTTGTGCAGGCGTATACTCTCGATGGATTCTCCGAGAGATGTGACGAGGTCATGAACTGGATGTCGGCCAACTACAGCAGGGACTTGGGTTTATGGCATCCTCTATCCCTGCTCCATTACATTCGGGTGGAAGAGAACCTATTGTCTTGTGGTCGCGTTCATGAGGCAGAACGGCTGGGCCTTGGTGTTTATATTGCTGTAAGAGATAGCATGGGTGACGAGGGGGTGATTACCATCAAGAAGGCCTGGGGAGACAAGAATTCCACGACAGAAGCTCCCAGCATGTCAGTTCTTGAGGGGGTCTTCGCTTATTATCAAGACGATATTCGCGTGGGGCAGCAACTCAAGCTTGCCAAGTTGTGGTCTCTATCCAGACTTTCCGGTATGGACACGATTCTACGGCGGCTTATTCAAAGGTTTGCCTCTGTCCCAGGTATCTTCCAGATTCATTCACAAGATGTTAGATGCATCTTGATTGAGTTTCTGGTTGCTTGTGGGGATAGCAGTGCCGCCACCGAAGAATGCAAAGCTGCAAGAGACTCACAGGCAAAACTGATCAAGCTTCTCGGGAGGTCAGAGTTCAGAGACCTCTTGAGAATATCTCAACAATTGTCAACGCTGCATCTAGTGAACGGAGATCCGGATGGGCATATGAGGGTTTTAACCTGGACTGCCGATGCTTTTCAGGCTATTCTTTCAGCTGCGTCATCAACAAGCTATAACCTTGATGGTATCCTGAGTTTAGTGCATTTTTACATAAAAGTTGGAGAAGCCCGCAATAATGAGTGTGGATGGAAAAGCGCAGAGCTTTGGGTTGGGCGAGCATTTATATTTGCTGTCAGAAAGCTAGGTAACTTTCACAATCTTTCGCTTCAGATAGAGCGTTTACTAAAGGCAAAGACTTTCAAGGGTTTTAATACTGACTTTTTAGACTAACAGATAAATAATAAACATACATTTAATGGGATAGGCAAAAGCTTAAATAGCTATTTAAATTCTGTATTGACAAAGAAACAATAAATGCTGGCAAACAACATGGATCATGCGTTGTTCTAATGTTCCAAGATCTTGTTATCTAGCTCCCTTCCGAATTCCTTCGTCACATTCTCATGATAAGCGTACACGTCAGGCCTGAACAGCAAACGCCGTCCTAAGTTGTGAGCTAGATCTCTTAGTTGCAGCTGATACTTGTAGCTGAGAGCTTTAATCAGCAGAGAGAGCTTAGATCGAGGTGCCAAGCTATCTTTATGCCCCCTGCTCCATACCAAAGCCGTACCTGCCCGTTATAGCCCAGGAGTAATATAGAACATAAGTATTAACAGGTTTATAGTATCTATCTAAGACGAATATTAAATCTTTTAATAAAAATATACTCTTTACTCTTAATTATAAAGTTAAAAATATTATATTTAATATTAATAAACTAAATCGCTTTCTGCTTTATAATATATTTCTATTTAAGCTTAATAAAGGTCTTTTTATTTATTTTAT